CATCCATCCATCCATCCATCCATCCATCCATCCATCCATCCATCCATCCATCCATCCATCCATCCATCCATCCATCCATCCATCCATCCATCCATCTACATTGCGTGACTTGGAACGTCCTGGTCAAATGAGATAAGGCCAACCTGGAGCTTATACATTCGCTCGTTGCTCTGCTCGTCATTAAAGTTCCAATTCATTTGGAGATTGCTTCTAATTGTCTGGCTCGTTTTTCAAATAATTTTCATACAAATGCTTTTGTTGATACTTTAAAGTGAAAGATTGTTTGAACATTCAAATATTCAAAAAAATAGAATAATTATTTCGTACGTCACTTTCATAGAAAAAAACTGCACAACAATTAATGAGTTTCAACGTAAATATTTTGGAACATGTTATAATGATGATGATGATGAATTGCATCCCTCGCTTGTCAAACAACTAAGTACTTCATGCTGCACACGCACCATCACACGCACCAAAACACACACACACACGCACATAATGATAGTCTTCTTATCAGAAGAGTAGCATAAATGCGGATGTGATGAAGATAAGCAAATAATACGAAGCATGATATAACTCATAATTATTTGAGGTATGTATATAAATAATTATATTTATATATAATTATATTTGTATCTATAATTATTTATATATGTGTGTGTGTGTGATTGATGTTAAGTTCATTAGCGGTTGGTAAGTAAAGGTTGTGACGCGGTGGTGCAGACAGACAGCTTAATAAACCGGCTTCACCAAGATATCAGATACTAATGTTCATATCGCAATTTATTCCGATGATTTTTGGAACCAGGTTACAAATGTTTGTATTTCTATTCATAATATAGATTATGATAAATTAGTTCTCTGCAAAAATTATTCACACAATGTTTAAATTGAAAAATGATATAATCGAGTAAAAAGTTCTTCAATGACTTTTGCTATTAAACATTTTTAAAGGTTTAATTCAAGTGGAAAATGTAAAGTTCTTTTGTATCACATCGTCAATAGTTAGATAGATAGATACAGTATAGTATCATCTAACTTGCATTACCATCGGGTCCCTAAAAACCAGGTAGGAAAACTTCACGCAATGTAAACCATTGATAAAAGTATTAAAAACTTTGTCACGTACAAGTCTGTTGTACATACAGTGCTGCATGTATTTTTTGTTATTGTGCAACCTTGGCTTCTAATATAAAATATACTTGTCAAAAGATTTTTCATTTTCACTTTTCGCCATCGTATGCGAAGGTAATTTTGAAATGCCTGAAAATTGAGTAAGTCATTAAATCTTAATACCCTGCTCATGCGAGTTGAATTTGAATACCGTGTTAGGATTCTATTTGTAGACGCTTCATCCATTCAAACATTTTTAAATGTTACACTACGTAATATAGAACTGTTATTTCAAACCGCGTTACAATCCATCTGCCACAGACTAAATCAGGTAAAAAAACAAAAAGATATAGAAGCTTAAGAGTTAAAAGAAGAAACTTGTTGAGGAAAGCAGAAAAACGACAAAAAAATGATGATGAGAAAGAGAGAGGATTTGATAGGGAAAAACAACAGACAAAAATCATTTAAACAAAGTTGTACATTGTGTCGTGTGATGTTGGGTTAAATATATTGTGTGTGCTGGTTCATGCTGTGCACGTGTAATGTTGATTTGTGTCTGTTGTGTGTGTAGATTCGTGTCGCGTGTGTTACACTGGTTTATGTTTTGCCGCGAATATTCTGAAGAAGTTCAAACTCTAGCCAGCCACCAGTTTTTTTTAACAATAACACTTCTGCGTGCTTGCATAAATATTTATTAAACTTTCTTCTTTATCTCTGGCTACCAGGATGTAAGAGAAGTCGATGATATTTATTAATTGGTGCGTCTGTTTCACTTAGTCAGGCTGTGTGCTTTTGTGTGTGTCTGTGTAAGTATGTGTGTACGCACGTGTGCTTGTATGAGTGAGTATGTCTGTATCTGTGTATGCGTGTTTGTATGATCGTGTATGTTGGTGTAAATTGCACGTTTGTATGTGTTTGTATGACTGTGTATGTTTGTGTCTGTGTAAGTATGAACTTCTGTAAGCATAAATAACGTTCTGCCTCTTTATTGAAATTTAATATTACCAAATTCAAGCCAATATATGCACAGCACATGAAGTCAGTGGTTGACTGTAGAATTAATTCATAATTCAATCTCACTGAACTGATTACATAGGCTGATGCTTTTGTTTGTTTGTGTGCTTGTTTGTGTGTGTGTGAGTTTGTTTGTTTGTAAACAAGTGTAACAACAACAAAAATATCAACTCATGCACATAAAAACAAACTGCACGCATGCTTACAGATAACAAACTTAAATCTTCAACACGTCAACATGATATTCAACGTGCAACAAACTAAAATTTATTAACAACAACAACAACAACTGCTCGCCGAGAATAATGTCCTCCTGGTTCTATTAAACGCAGACAGGCAACTCAGCAGCAGCAAACATTACAACACCGTTCAATGTTGTCCCACAAATGGAGCATTATGAATCTGTGGTTATGAATGATTCAACCTACCGTGATAAAAATAAAGTAGCAAGGAAGTAACCGACGAGAAGATCATTTTTAAACTGAACAAACATAATTTGTTAAATGAAAGTTGTCTGTCTGCCTGTACAATGTACATGTTTGATTCAACCGGGTTGACATTATGAGCTTAAAAAACTTTACATAGATTTCAGTATTATTTAATATTGTTCGGTATCATTTTGTATCTTACAATATCATTCAATATCATTCAATATCATCCAATATCATTCAATATTATTTTAGATCACATTTTATCAGGCAGTCATTACAAAATCATTTTGAATCATTATTTTTATCAATACCAACCAACCATTACCTAAAAAGGCTTTCAAATATTATTAAAAAAATTAAAATAATTATAATAATTGTTACTTATTTCAACTTAAATCACATTTATAATTTTATCAGTTGCAATAATTTCATCTATCATTTACGATCTATAATGGTCTATGATGGTCTATGATGGTCTATGATGGTCTATGGTGGTCTATGATGGTCTACGGTGGTCTATGATGGTCTATGGTGGTCTATGATGGTCTATGGTGGTCTATGATGGTCTATGGTGGTCTGTGATGGTCTCTGATGGTCTCTGATGGTCTCTGATGGTCTACAGCATGTTTATAAAATCATTGCTGGTATTCGCTCATTAACCGTCAAAATAGATTTTACACAGTACATACAAGAAATGTTTTAAAACGAGCCCATGAACACATAAACAAAAGACCACTTAGGCAATTAAAATCTTCCATCGATGAATAATCACACGTGGTCAATTGGATCGTGATGATTTTGTTCTTTTCACGTGTGTGTGTGTGTGTGTGTGTGTGTGTGTGTGTGTGTGTGTGTGTGTGTGTGTGTGTGTGTGTGCTCACTCGACTACAATGCATCAGCGGTTATAAACATCTTAAATTCTCGCAAATCGTTCAAGGCGTTAGGTTTTAATTGTTAACTACAAAAAATTTCATAATTTGATATTGAGGCAATGAGCTGTAATTGTCTGGGTGTTTCTTCGAATGTTTGATAATTGCTTGTGTGAAGACAACTTGTGATCGTGTGAGTAAGCTAGCAGCCATGCTAGCTGCAACAGTCATCCGTTAGTTATGTTTCATCAAGTAAATATGACGTCTGTGAATGCACTTGCGTTTATGCACATTTTTAATTAGAGTAGACAAAATAACTACAAGAGAGAAAAATAATAATAAATTAAAGGCGTTGCCTCCAAACGAAGAAAAAACATTTACGCTTGACGAAATGAAAATCTAACAATCTCAACTTAATGAAAAGAAATTATTATTTCATTGGAGCAAAATACACGTTTAAACAATTCTAAAAGTTAAAATTTAACGAGAACAACATTTTTTTTCTATCTCAACTCAACTTATTTGCATAAACCTGACAATGCAATTCAAATATCACCTTATAAAGCTGAAACATGAATGTGCCGTCGTGCATTCAACATCCATACTTTGTGCTGTTTGTATTTTAACGTCATTGAACAGAAGTGCACATAAAATTAACGCGAGCTCCAAAAGAAGTGATTCGCGTTGTATGTGTAATCGAGCGTTCAGATGTGTTTGCATATGCGTGTGATGAACTGCGTGCATACTTATGAATGGTTGGTTGAGTTCGATACTCAATCTCTTACACTGTGTTCGTTCTGCTGCATGTTCATCTCCCGCTTACATAAACCTTCAAAAAACGAACGTAACTTTTTTGATTCAAAGTTGAAGGATGAACTACAACTGGTAAACTTCTGAATTTACTTTTTATAATAAAAAATGCAGTTTATGTAGGCTAACGTAACGATGGAAAGTGTGCCTTTTGCTTATGCAAAATATTTTTAAAACTAACACCCATAAATTCTTCTCTTTTCATTGATTATCAGCTTCATCAAAGTTTATAAAAATGACGAAGGTACAAGTCGTAATAACTCATTGCAAAGTGCAAACACGACACGCACAAACAAGAAAGGATATCATAACTTGCTCCTTGAAGTGTGTCCCACACAAGATTGACGGCATGGATGGGATGTTGTCCTTCCGTGAATGAACTTTGTTGAACTTGAGAGATTTGCACTTTGCTTCATTTGAGACAACGTCATCATCACCAGGTGGAGATCTAAAGCCCGAAAATTCATTGTAACGCATCTTGCTAAGTTTATTTGAACCCAGCAAATGATGATGATAGAAAGCTTTAAAATAATCTCCCGTTGTGCTGTTGTTGTAACTGACGTTGTTGAAGTTGCAACTTGTTGCATTAGCATTGCCCGTGTTGATGTTGTTTTCGTCAACATTGTTGTTGTTTGTATTGAAGCAGCCTTGAATTTTTGACATGTTGGAGAGGTTGGTGAATGTGGAATAAGGATTTCGACGACAAGTGGTATCATTAATGTTTGATTGAGACAAACTTGGATTAAGAACGGCCACGCTGGTTGAGAGTGTTGTTGGCGTTGGACTTTTCAATCTGAAAGGCAATTCATTTGAGCTGATATAGTTGAGCTTTTCGCAGTTTATAAGGTTGTTGGGACCTTCATACTTTATAAATGTATCCGCAAAGTTGGATGAACGGTCAGCAATGTTGTTGGAGTTGTTTTCCAATTTGTAATCACAATTAGTTGAAGTTTGCTGGCTAATGTCAGAAGAAAATGAACTGTTGTCATCCGTGGCCGATTCGTCTCGGTACGTTGTTGAAGTCAATCGCGTTTCTAAATCTTCCTGACTTTTCAAACCTAAATTGTTGTTGTCACTGTTACTTAACTTGTGTTTATTATAAACAGAAGTGTTGAAACATTTTGGGGACAAACTACAATCCGTTACTTTGGTTCTTTTTTTCTTGTTTGGCGTGACGACCAAAGATATTGCCTCGGTTTGTTCTGGTTCTTCTGTGAGGCCCGAGCCAGGTTTCATGGAAGAAAGTTTTGTGATGGAGTCAAAGTGCTGAGCTGCGTTGAATAGATCAAATGACTGTTTGGTGTTTGGCGAGGACGAAAAGTTTTGAAATAAAAAGTTCTGATTGTACAAGTGTGACTGAAAGTTAGGACGGTGAGTATAAGGAAAGTACATTGCAGAAGAATGAAGTGCGGGAATGTTTTTGTTGAAAGAATTGAACAACAATGAATGTTTTTGGTATGATCTTTTTATGAAGGACTCATAGTCAGATGGTGGTGTGATTGATTGGTAGGGCCAGGGAGCATCTGATTTAAATCTGTCACCAGATGGAAAGACTGGGTGAGGTAAATTTTCCACCAAAGAATTGTTTGTCTTTACTGTGTTTGATTCCGTTATTTCGGATTTATCTTCAAATGTCTTTTTTGAAAAAGTTCTATAACCATTAAACCGTTTTTGTAGAAATTTATTAACTATATCCGATAAGAAAACATTGGTGCTGTGTATCAGTTCATTTTTCAACAAATCCGCCAACAATTTAACTTCCAAAGGCTGTTCTTGGTTATTTTCTAAAATTTTATTACAATTTTCATTATTTAAATTTTTATAAGATCGACTAAGAAGAAATTCTTCATAATTTTTCTTCAACCAATTTAATTGATTTTCCAATTTTTCAATTTTTCTTTTAAAAGATAATATTTTAAAATCTTTGAAGTCATCACAATTTGAATCTGAATCATCACGTGAAAAATTATTTTCCTCCTCATGCTCATCTTCGCAATCACTGTCATCGACTACATCTTCATCCTCGTCTAAAGGTTTGGGCTTCGATTGCTTTCTTTTCAGTCTGCGCATAAAATTTTGACAGTCTTCATCTGCTGCTGGTTCGGACTGATCGATGTTGGAACTATTCACCCGACTCGAATGCTGGTTCACAAAACTTTTCTCATAATGATTGTCAGCAGGAAGTTTATCTGACATGTCGTACTTTGCTTTTTTATTGGCAGACATTTCGTCATCGGCATCTGCCATAGAGTCGCACAACCATCTCCTCTGATTAGATTGTGTTTTCAAGGAAATGTTGATGTTGTGACTGTCTTGATCGTTGTTATTGTTGTTGTTGTTTGTATTATTGTTGGCACTGTTGTTATTGTAACGGTTATTGTTAATTGGTGCACACAATTGTTGTATGGAATGATATTGAGATTTTTTATCCATTCTGTTCAACGAGTCCGCTTCTGTATTTGTCGATGCGGTATCGTTAAATGATGATGGCATGTTGTCGTCATTGGTGTTGTTGTTGTCGCTAGGGTTGTTGTTGCTATTGTTGTTGCTGTTGCTGTTTATGGTGTTATTGTTGTTGTTATTCTGCATCTTTTTTTGGGTGGAGGAAAATGATTGAAAAGATGGAAAGGTTGAAGAAGTTATCGAACAAACGTTGTCGTCGGTGTTGGCTGCCGCTGCTGTTGTTGTTGCTGTTGTTGTTGCTGCTGTTGCTGCTGTATTGTTGTCACCATAAAAATCATTCTGCGCTCCTCTTCTAGATTGCATGTGGCAACTTTGATTGTTGTTTTGCGTGTGGTTGATGTTGAAAATGTTTGCATTGGATGAAGAGCCCATCATCATAGCCATTACTATAAAGAACTTAAATATATTTCGTATGCAAATATTTTACTACTACCAATCTTAAATAGCTTAATAAAACTCCAATTTACATACATCAAACTCACAATTGCGTTTGCTTAAAAAATCACGCTGGTTATTATTGAATTTGTTAATAAGAGCGCACTTATTGCAAATGAAATTATCCTGATATGATCATTTCAAATAAAAAAATAAACTTTTCAATTTTTAAAGTATCATGTTGAAACTATCTGTTTGACAAACATTGTTGATAAAAAATAATGACAGTTCAAAAATACTAAAAAATACATTTTATAAAAATAATAAAAAAAAACAAAATCTAACCTTTTGCGATATCAATCAATGATAAATAAATAATATTTTTATATAATTAAACTTTTTAATTGAGCTAGAAAAGTAAATGCAAATTTGCAAACTATTTAATCTCCAAAGATATTTGAACTGGCTGAATAACAATATGAAGAATAACAATGAGGTGATGATGGGATGGAGAAGCCTGTAAGTCTCAGCACAACTCAAAAACATCAGAAATAACGTAGCACTCAAGACGAAGAAGATGAAAAGATGGAAGGAGTGATGATGATTGTGACGCCACAATATTACTTGCTCAGACTTATAAATAGACTCCTCCCATCTTATTAAGACAACCAATAAGAGAGCGATAGGGATCTTATAAGTGGTTGCTACGAAATGGCAACATCATTAAATCAATTGTCCTTGCGTGCAAAGATGCAAAACATCTAGCAAGTCTATTTGTGCATTTATCTCTCTCCTCTCTCTCTCTCTCTCTCTCTCTCTCTCTCTCTCTCTACCTCTCTCTCTCTCTCTCTCTCTCTCTCTCTACCTCTCTCTCCGCTCTGCCCAATTTCAATATATGCTATGTGCAATTATGCATGTGTGTATGAACGCATGGATATATATTACATCTTATACAGAGTTGTATAAATCATACATGTCCATGCCTTATATTAATCTATTATTAAATATTAAAAGTTAACTGTATGTGTTGTTGCATCTATAAAATAAATAAAATATATACATATGTATAATTAAGGTTTGGACTACCATACCTAAAACCAATGATGAACGTTTGATTTGTCTCCAGTTACATATCCTTTCCTTATTTTTAATTTCTTATATTTTATAAAAACGTACCGAGTAATTCAGCCGAAATTTGATACACACCACACACACACACACACACACGCACACACAAACACACATACACACATGGTTTGATTTGATCTTATTAGACTCAACAACTACTTAAAATTTTGAAATTTTGTTTGTAAACGTATTTTGGTAAGGCGAATAATATAGGATAAAGTCGATTGGAAGAAGGGTAAAGGATTTGCCTGAATTTTTGTAAATAAAGGCTTTTGAGGAGGAGAGCAAAAAACAATTTCAGTTTTCAGTTAGCTCATTTCTCAAAAAGGGTTGGCTTTATTGAAGAGAGGGTGACACCTTCTCATAACAATTGTACGCCTCATGATTTCATTTACTGTAAAAAATTGTAAAACAGAGAATCTTTACAAGTGGTTGCCAACAACTCTACATGCTTTTCGTTATATCTTATTAAATAAACTGCCGTAAAATTTTTAGAATAAAAATGTGTTGATGTAGCATTTCTAATTCAATTTTATTTATTTAACCTCTATATCAAAAATTTTAAATCTATAAAACTTTTGTAATTTACGCAAAATGTGAAAAACTTAGAATTTCTTGCTGTAAATCAGCAACAGAGGTTTAAAATCTTTTTTGAAGTTTTCCAGTTTTTCGATGTTCAAAGTGAACAGAACAAGAATATGAAAATTTATTACTCATATATTGGTATGTTGAATGAAGAAAGTATGCCAGTAACTAGAAATTTTATCAAATTCGTTCGAGAACATTTTCGATGTCGATCGAGCACGGGAACAACGATTGAAAATTTAGTACCAATTTATTGCTTTTGGGAATTAGAAAAGATAGAACGTCTCTCTTGGTATCTGAAAATTCCCGATAATTTAAAGTTTCACGATGCCTCGGACTACCAATTTAGTGTTTTGTAGATTTGTAGAGCGCCTCTATAAAGTTATCTTCAGAGCGCAATGTATACAAACTGTATGCAAACATACTATACACATACAAACGAACATACATACATATCAACATATATATAAAATATAACACAAGTTTATTTGTCATTTTGTATTGGTCCATTTCTACTTTTTAATTCTTTTTTGGTATCAAGCATTTGGTTGAATGGTCATTTCATTAATGTAGAAAAAATAGTTTATTTTTATCTTATATAAAAGATTAAACAACAATGAAAAAATACACTACGAAAAATAGAGAAACTTAATCAAAGCCTAGTCAAGCTGAGGATACAGTGCTATTCTCAATAATTATGTGTATAATAGTTTTTACAGCCCTAACTACACACACGTGCGCGCGCACACAAACTAAATATGTACTTGCATATTTTTTATTAGAAAAGACTCTATAATTGTTCTAATTGGTTTTTACTTAATTGACAGTTTTGCACTACTATCATTAAAGTTTTACAATCCAGTTTTTCAAAATCATCATCGATAAAAGCAACAACCAGATGCGCAAACACGGAGTGAAACATCCAGCCAGCGAAGAAAGAAACAAGTGAAATAACGAAAGATGAAATATCCAATTAAGAATATTTAAACCAGCTTATATATATATATATATATATATATATATATATATATATATATATATATATCGTTGTTTCAACTGAAAAATTTATACTAGCACTTCTTAAAAACGGCAAACCAGATGAAAGCAGAGTTATGTGTCTACATTATTGAATACAGCTTGCATGAATAACACAAACTAACGTGCAGCTATAAGCTGCATCATATACAATGAATAAATTTTTTAACTTATAACAAAGAATGCACAGCAACATAAACATACAACATTGTACAACAATACAACAATAACACATCAACACAACAGCACAACAACGCAACAGCACAACAGCCCACCCGCAGACCCACGCACAAGTTCATCTGTCAACTTGATTATCCATGCTGCCTCCGACTGAACTACTTCATGCCCACACACACACACACACACACACACACACGCACACACACACACACACCGACAAACATCCCGAACACAAACACACACACAGACACACAAACACGCAGTAGATTTTGAGTGGTCAGGCTCGATAAGTTTTTTAAATTTCATTTTAGTCAGCCTTGTAGGATGTTCTGTTTTTGTTATAAAATAAATCTCGTTTCACATTGTTTAGTGAGTGAATGTGTTCAAGATTGTGCACATTACATGCTATAAAACAAAATAAACTTTACAATGCAATGCACATCTTTTGAAATCTTCTACATCGAGCGGAATTAATGAAAGAACAGTTAGTAAAGTTACTCTGGTTCACTAAACATGAACAAAGTTGGGCGAATGACTGAGCATTTAATCAGTCAGCCACATCGACAAAGCGCATTTCAGGAGCACATGGGATTGGAGCAAATACATTATGCATTCAATGAGCTCACAGAGCGTTAAACTACGCACAGGTAAGAAAACAGTAAGAAGTGTTCATTTATCTGCAGTCAGGCGTGTAGCGATCTCATCTCTAAACCAACTTCACTCTCAATTGCATAAATGTTTATTTTTTTCTTTTTTTTTTATTTTTGCTTGATTAACTTAAAATAAATATGCTCTCGTGTCTTCTCGAGGACCAAGTTATCGAGAAGACTCACGATGCACGTACAAACTGGCACTACAAAGAATCACATGAAAGAGAAACACAAAACTAAAATTACTAGACAAATCTTAAACAACAATGTTGAAATCTTACATTACAATAACAACAATTATAATTTACGACTAGCTAAATCAATACTCGTAGAATGAAGACATCCGATAATAAATATCCAACAACGGATAATTGGAATTTTTCCTACCAATAAACTTAGAAACGGAGGAATCCTCGATAATGAAACCACGTAAAAGTGTTACATTAAACGAAGTTGAAGATTGTAAAACTAATAAAATAAGCGTTAACTATTCACTTTAAACAAACAAGGAATCAACAAAGCTTTTAAATTGGATAAAATCACAAACCACAAAATGGAAATTTGTGAAGTCTTTAACAAAATGTAGAATAATACATTTGGCGCAAGAAACATGTTCAAGTCATTTTAAAAAGCCCACACCACCATCAAACTCTGCTGCTTTTTTATGCCGGAAGATTTTAAAAAAGACATAGAAAACGCTGCAGCTTAATTTGAAATCAAAATTAATATGAAGTTTTATATATTATACATTTATTTCTTTAACGTTTCGTTTTTGTAGTAGTTGTTCTTATTCTTACTGTTGTTGTTGTTTTTGCTCTTGTTGTCGTTGTTGTTGTTGTTGAGACAGTGGTGAAAACATAGACGATGAAAAGGCAATAATTTGTAAAATGATGAAGTTTGATAGGAGGGCCAATAAATTAACAAAATGTTCGTTGGTGTGGCTAAAATCAGATTGGCGACTTTTTTTGCTTATCGCGCCAATTTTCGGTCGATTTTGACTTCCAAACGTTATTTTCCTAATTTTATTTGACTTTTAGCAAAACAGGTTGCTCCGCCCACTCCCCCTAGATCCGCCACTAAAAATAATGAATTAAGAAAGAACTGGTACTAATCTTTTTAATAGTTTTTTATATTTTTATCTGCAAAACAAAAATAAATTTTCAATTAAAAAATTTAAATTTTCAACCAAATGCGCTCCGCTCTAAACACGCGATATATTTTATTTCATAATCAATTTAGCGCTTTATTTCATTTTTCATGTCCCTGTTGAAAAAACTTGTTAAAACATAATTTTACAGAATATAATCAACAGTTGGCCAAATCAAAACGTCATATATTCTGTCTATTTTAAATTGTTGAAATTAAATGGTTGAAGAAAATGCAACAAAAAAAGATTTAAATTATTTAACCTCGTCGTTCGTCAGTCAGTTGTTTCTTATGGTGTACATGGTACGTTACGTTACCGATTGCTGCAACACTTTATCCCATATTACGCACTATCCCGGTTACTTGATCCCGACTATCTGTGAGTCTGTGTAAATTAATATATAGCTCGGAAATGCAATTGTAAATTAGGTTAATTTTATCAAGAATCAACTGTAATCGGGATCCTATAAGCAGGAAAGAATGTAGACGGTATCGGTTTTTGGTGATGGGTAAAAATGTAAAGTGTTGAATCAACTAGTTGATGAGCCAAAACAGCGTTTGCTTAAATAAATAATGAAATAAATATGAACAATTATATATGTTAAATATATATTCAACCCTTTCATTTGAATACCATAAAAAGTAACTGACTATTTTGTATTTTTTAGATTTCAACCTCTAAATACTCTACAGTTTCAACTCTTTTCCAGAATTTATTTTAATTGATTATGGCAAAACTTTTTACGCTTAAAAAGCACCGTTACAATGTCATTTTGAGATTGTGAAATGATGAGTTTGAGGCGGAGTTGGACTCTTTTTGTTGTATTGTGACCATGCATGTGAATGAAAGTTCGACTGCTACCAGTTTTAAGGAAGAAGTTGTTACTGTTAGTTACTTGTTATGAACGATTTGAAATTGTATATAATAAATGTTATTCATCTTATTCATCTTTAATTGCAATCTGAACTAAAATCAGTTTTTCAGCTAATAAAGTCCTATTTTAAATGTAAAAGCAGAAGCAAACAATGGCTGCAAGTTTTTTGAAAAATCCGCTCTGTTCAATGACAAAGACTTTCAATTATTACTTAACAATCTTAAATCCGTTGCGTATTCCATAAAAAAAAGTTTTGCGCTACAAGAAAACCTGCTTGTCTGGATGTTCAACTTTAGAAACCATGTAAGATATCTGGCATTGCAATGATTAATAAAAACTGCACAAGTTAAAGATATTTACAAACGCAAACTTTTTGAGCTATCGAAATCTAAATGTGCTAGAAAATCATTCAGTTATTGTTGGTGAGTGCATAGGGCAGGATGCACTAGAGCCGGTGCCTGAGTGGACCTTCAAACCACGAAAAAATATGAAAGTCTAAGAATTTTTTGACTCTCTAATTCTCATGTAAAAATGTTTTGAATAGATAACAATTTTTTTAATGTGTAAAAATGTAGTCTTGTTATTAAGTGTGTTTTGTGTTCATGTGAGTTATTCTATTAATTTCAACAAAAAACATTTTTGAAGTTTTAATTTTGTAATTTTAATCAATTTAGATCTGTTACATCATGGAATATACCAGTTCAAAGAGAGAACCTTGAAGATAGCATGCACCAAATCTAAACTCTATAAAGAAGAAAAATGGAAAAACGTTTATACAAATGATTTGTCGATAGATTATAAAAATTTTAATAACTCAATTAAAACATTTGAAATCAACCCTACTATAGATTTTTATAATCTTTCTAAACTGCCATTAACTAATTTAGATTAATAAATTGCATAAGAGTCTCGTGGCCGAGTGGTTAGCGTGTCCGTCTATCACTCCCACGACCCGAGTTCGAATTCTGCAGTTTCTACAGGTTCATTCGGGTAGCCGACTTCCGGTCAACCCAGCCGTCCATCCTTCCGAGGTTAGTAAATGTGTAGACGACGTAAGCTGTCGTATGTTGGCCGGCGAGATGTTTCAGTGGTTCAAATGCGCGCTGAGTCAAACATCTCAATGGCTTTCATAGACTCAGCGTATATGATGCGGTGCTTGCGCGTGCACATAAAATACATGTGTACGTCGTGTGAAAAGGATAAACAGCCTTTGTGGCAAAGATGGCTGCTTCACATCAATGGATGAAGATATGAAGAACATAATAAAAGATATATAGATAACATATCTGTAACATTGTAAGTGGTTCTGCGTATGTCAGAGCTTCAATAATAAAGTCTAAAAAAAATAATAATTAATTCGTCGAATGCAATATACTATAACAGGAAAAAAACATGAACGATTGATCATTTTTATCATCCTTGTACTCTTGACATAGACTTACGTAATGAAAATTTCATTTGTACCTCTAGATGATACGTACATGATAGTTACGTCTACATACGCCTATCATGTCTACAAGTGTGCACTGGCCACTGGGCTGCATTATACAACTCGCAAGGCCTAGAACTCTCAAACACATGTTTGCACTCATTTTAAACCCAGAAAAAACATTTAAAGCGAAAAAAGATTACATTTGTCAACATCCATTGAGCGATGGTAACATACCCACTAATAGTGATTTTTATCTCCCAATTTTACACTTTCTTCCATTGAACTATATAGATCAGTAGTTTCTTCTATTTGTTAGAGCAGGATTGTCGTCAAAATAGCAAATATCGATAATCAACATTTGATTAAAAATTATGTCATTGGAATCGCAAGGGCTAGATCTTATTACAATCGTTATGACAGGGACGGCCTTAGGTAGTAGGAGGCCCTAGGCAAAGAAAATTTGGTGGCCCCAAGTGACATTTTTTAAAAATGTGGACAAGAAAATTTTACACATTTAAAAAAAAATTAATACGTTTGTTTCATGATAAATTTTTCCTGCGATAATACTGCGATTAATTAAAAATAAAACAGTTAGGTATATAAAATTAAATCATCGAAGAAGGATTTTTTAAAAAAAAAGTTGTTTTATTCTGCATTGCGAGGCCCCTAAAAATCGGAAGCCTTAGACGACTGCCTAGTTTGCCTATGACTAAAGCCGGCCCTGGTTATGAAATATTTATCGTGTTATTATTAAGTTACAAAGTCTATGTTGGTTCAGCAAACACGCTCCCCCGTCAACGTCAAGTGTAAAAATATTATATTTCAATTTCTGAGATTTTTTTCGTTTTGCTCATGGATATATAATATAATATATATAATATAATATATTATATCCATGGTCTTCTACAAATTAAATGTAAACTTAAATTAGCAGAGCATCTCCAATCTTACTAAAAATCCATTCGGTGGTTGATAGAGTTAGAAATGTTCTTATCTTCTGACTCAGACAGGTTTTATATGAGTTGTTTTTCTTAATTAAAATACTTTAAAAAGTTTTATCTAACAATAACTAAACGGAAGATCAGTGATGTGTTAGCTGTATTTAGCTGTTTATTTTATTTCATGCCAGAGATAGAGATATACTCAGACTCAACTATCTGCTATATCTGTTACCATCATCATAAATAACCTTATCTTTACGACTTTCAACCACACCAGACCAGACAGAATGAGGCTTTTTTAATTTTTTTTGTAGTTAAATCAGTCATTACGTTAGTTAAAGTAGTAGAGTAGTTAGTTAAGTAGTAAGTAGCAGAAAAAGTAGTGGCAGTTCCACTCCTCACTTTTTTTGCCACATCTGCTGATTTCAACTTTACTAATTTGCCTAAACCTAAAGTTTAATTAACTCTTTAATTTAACTTTAATCTTTAAGAAAGTAAATTTAAATTTTAAGTTGTTAGTAGGTTTGGAAGTCTATTTTGGTTCAGCAGACATACTCCCATGTCAATATTATATTCTAGTTTTAATTGAGACAGTAAGAATCTCAGTTCATATTACTTCATTCATAGTTACTTCATATTTCATTTATTTTAAATTTAATTAATAATGGTAATGTGTTATCTGTAATGTAATTTAATGGTAACAATTTATTTTATGTTAATCCACTTACAGAGAACATAGAGTACTATACTAAAGCTACAAGACCCCAAGGCAGACATAAGATAACCTTTTCAGACAGCATGGTTGATCAAATTCATTATATATAAAATATTAAAAATAAAAACAAGCAAGAACAGACAGTCAGATAGGTGAGACTTGTATTTATCATCATAATAATATAATTAATCGTGACATAAAATAAATAATTTATTTTAGAATTGCAAAAAAAATAGAGTTGGGGCATTAGGTAGTTTTCTAGGCTAGGCCAAGGTAAGAACTTAAACACAAGTATATATTTTTATAATTAATTTAACTTTACAAGTGTAACTATAAAATGAAATAGAGTTGTAATATTAACTAACAGTTAAGCTTTGGAACTGAAAATGCAAAAATTTATTTTAATTTAAAATTTATAAGTCTGTGTTGTGTAGTACAGAAACAAAATTGCCATCAATTATTAATGGTATAAGATAATAATAATAGCATGCTTTGATTTTGTTTATGTTTGTCGATGGTTTTCTTGGCAAAAGTAGTGGACAGAAGTAGGTTGCCATTACTCGCTGTCAACTTTTCTACTTCTATGTGAGATGGGTAATGACAAATAAAATTATATAAGATAAATAAATGAGTCAAACAAATAGATAAAAATAGATAAATCAATATAAAGTATTTGAAGTTAATGTATAATAATTAAAATTAAAAATAATCCAGAAATAATAATGCATGAAAATCAAAAATAGTAATTATATGAGAAAATAAACCAATATAATAAAATTATAAAATGGACAGGATTGGACATACATGGATATTAAAGAAAATAATAATATTAAAAAATTAAAAATAAATAATAAAGTACTAATTTAATGCAATATACATATAATTTAAACTATGAAAATAAAAATACATAAAATAATATTAATTATAATGTGTTTTTTAATAACTTCGTTATATCTAATATTTAAGAATTAAAAGATTCTATTATTAAACAGAATAAAAGAAGATAAAATAAATGAATTTAATAATAAGTCAGTATTAAAACAACATTAAGCAAACAAAATTCAAAATTAAATACAATTACTTTTAAATCAAGAGTTAAAGATTGGGTTTTGTGAAGTTCGATGGTAACCAATTTCCTGAAAGGATAAGGCACAAGAAAGAAGAAGCATGCTTTGACTATAAGTGCAATGCAAAAATAATTCATCTTCATTACTTGAATGCACTATTACACCTGGTAGCTGTAGTTGTGGTCTAATTACTGTTCTGGCAAGCCAGCAAACTATAACAGCTGATTTACTGATTGATTATTGTTCAACCAGCAAGTTCACTTGGCATAGAGTTCCATACATTTGACACTTAGTTAAATAAGTTTGCAAGTTTTGTTATTTCTTTAAGTACTTGAAGCAGTGACCTATTGCTTTAGTTTTAACTAAACAGAAACGATTATTTTTGAATAAATCTTTTTATTCTTCTTTCTTTAAGTGTTGTTTATCCCATTTTTTGAGACAATCTTTATGCTTGTAGTTCTCCTAGATTAACACCCAAATGCCTTTCAGTTTCAGCATAAAGCAAAGTCTGTTCCGATAATGTAAAGTTTTTATATTGAACTGTGTAAGTCAATCATATGTCCATTTGAAAGCACTAAACGCACATTACCACCAAAAATGTAGACTCACTGGCAGTAAGTGTAAGCCGTGCCAAAATCAGGAGGAGCATGTTGATCATAAAGTGGCTGTTTGCTCAATACTAACACCACAAAAATACATGCACAGACACAGCAGGTTTGTCGGTTACCTGCAGTGGTCCATTCTGAAAGGATTTGGTCAAAAAGTGCCTGACCATTGGCATGATCACCTGCCTGAAAAGTTATTGAGTTCAGCAATACAAATACAACACTCATGTACGAAATGCCTATAAACACCGAGCGAAATGTTGCAGCTATGAGCAATTTTTTAAACTATTTTTTAATGTATTAATAAATGATAGTTCAAAAGGTTTATGAAAGCCAATTTGGGTAACTTCAAATGTTTTAATTAAAATAAAGTTTTTAAAATCGTTTGATATTGTACGAACTGCCTTGTTACCAGATTCGTAAAAATCTTTATGTTTTGCTTTGCGCATGATTTGATGTTTTTAACTATTAAATTGAATTAAATATCTTTCCAGTGCCGTGATTGGCATGCAGTTTGATAGAATGTGTTTGCTTGCTTGCTTGGCGTTGCATGGTGACCCAACGATTTGGCTGATTTTCCACATCTGAATAAACTGGAGTTTGTTGGCAGTTGTTGTATGACGCAATTCCTTGTGAATTCAAATAAGGTCACTGATAATTTTATCGCTGATTTGAATCAGCACATAATTTCCGCAGCCTGAAATGGAAGGGGTCTTTTGTCGATATTGTAGCAAAGTAAAAAATATATTGTTGAGATTTGTTTCATGTTGTCGTTGTCTGAAGATTTCGAACACCAGTTGCAGATCATCATTCTGCATGTTGCTGTTAATTTTTTGTAACAGTTGCTGGATTCATCCAATGAGGATGTCATTTCCTTTTTTGAATTAAACTTTAGAGTCTCGCAAAGCGTCATTCTTAACCACTCTGTTTCAGTGACTTGATGCTGAGTCCTCCGCTTCTATAGGGTGACGAAGGAAATTCAGCTACACAACTGCTAGTAGGTAGTGAAAGGCAGCTTCTTGCAGTCTCTGTTGTCATTACGTCAAGGCTTTTTCACTCGACGTCAGAGAGATGTCGTATGTTCTTAGTTCAAATGAGAGCGTTTTAAGATCTGTAGTTTCCATTGGTCAATGATGTCCAATTTTCTGCAACATGATCTCAATGTTCCTATGAAGATGATCATTTTCTTTTGCTTCTTTGCTTTTGAATTTGTACGTTTTTCCCAAACATGTGAATTGTTCCTAAATATTTACTTGAGGCTTTGGCTCATCATTAAGTGACAATCTGGGTGAAAATTGTTTGTAGGCACAGCTCAGTTCGTATTTTTATGCTTGTTCACTTGTACCATGCTTCGTTGAGATCTATTAGCGTTTGTGTCTTTTCTCTGCTGTTAGCAATGATGCGGTATCATCTTTAGCTTTTGAATTTTGATTTGCTGGTGGTTTCTAAAGATGGCCGCGCTGTTGAGACTGTTTTTTGACTGTTTTTATTGTTGGACTGAAACAAAGATTAAATAACAATGGTGAGCAAGGGTCACCCTGAAGCACTGCTCGCTTCACCGAAATGAACCGACACTGTTGTCAAGTAATCTTTGTAGATTGATTTAATTAGGCCACTTACTTTTTTCGGTACGTGGTGACGTTTCAGAGCAGCTAGAGTGAGAGAATGACTAACCTTGTCAAATGCGTTTCGTAAGTCCAAGAGGGTGAAGATGATTGATCTTTGGTGTTTTTTGGCGTCTTTCAATAGATGTATCAATAGTTGAGTGTGTTCGGCTACACTGCCAACTTTTGGATGGAAACCTTTTTGAATTGTTGTTGTGATAAGTGTGTTTTTCTTGAGGATTTTATATTTATAATAATAATATAATAACTACATTTTGTCTATATATCTTTATTAATTTTTCCAACTGTTTTCATTTGTAAGTGTAAAAAATCTTTTACAGCGAGACCCCCCAAGAGACAGCTGCCCACGAAGTTCAGACGAGTTCGTCGGTCTTCTTGCTGCCTCCTCCCATTCACAAAGTCAGCTCAGTGAAGCATCGCATCAGGGCTTCCAGCTTCTCGAGGACCACTGCTGATGAAGAACAAGTGAATTTTTGCTTACTTCAACATGTACAGTTATAGAATATTAACAAATCTGTTATTATTAGTTTAAAAAGCCTTACCGTGATTAACTGGTACTATTATTGTGTATTACTATAAATATAACGTTTACAAGTTATGCTATTGCTTTATTTTATTAATTGGATTTTAGGATTTTTATATTGATCAGTTTAATTTTGATTAACTGATGAATATATTTTGATTATTTGACATTATTTTCGTAGTTAGATTTTCATGTCTTTTCTGATGAATATGTCCTTGCTTGTTTCATGAATAAAAAGCAACAATAATCATGAAATCATTTTCGACTTGAAATTTTCCACGTTTTTCTTCAAATGTAAATGCGGAATGAGTGATTGTTAAGGTATGTCCCACTGAAATCACCTTTTCACGTCGTTGTTTTTAAAAATTAAATGCCCATTTGATAACAAAATAATCTCTATTTCACAAACTGAGATTATCTTTTCTTCTTCAAGCAAACCTTTTAAAAGCGAATTGAATAAATAAATATTCACAATTTATGAGAGATTTTGATACACCTATTACTTTTTATCAGAACATCTGAATGTTAAAAACATATTGTTTTGAGCTACATAACAGCTTGCTATATAATTATTACAATCTAATAATCTGTCAGCAAATTATTTGCATTCTAACAAGTCTGCATGAAAATACCACAGATATAATCTGTAACATGATTGACAGGTGGTGAGGTCTGGCAAGCGAATTATCTTCACATCAGGAAGGCCTCCATGGTATGATTCGTCAGGACAGTTGAAGGAGGCATTTGTTATTGGTCGGTCGGTTGTTTAGTGGGTTGATTTGCTGGTTAGGCTGGCTGACATGTTAGTTGGCTAGTTGATTGGTTAATTGGTTGCTTGTGAGCATTTAAATGTAAAATAATGTGCACTTAAACTAGTGAGTCGGATTTTTTGAGTGGTCTGAGTGGGATATATGGAATATATTTCATGCGGCTTCGACACGCTGATTGTGTCTAAGCTGGCCCCGTCATCGACATCAACAGCAGCATCAAATGATGTCATCAACCACCTAATCGTAATGACAGAAACATTTTTATAGTAATGAATCATTTATAACAACAACAACAACAACCACAAAGGTATAACAGGGGGAAGTGCATCGGGCAAAACGTCAGTGGCCAAGAAAATAATTGAAGCCCTCGATGTACCATGGGTCAGTCTCATTTGCATGGATTCTTTTTATAAGGTTCGTTTTATTGTTGTTGTAGTTGCCGTTGTTGCTGCTTCTGTTGTTGTTGCTGCTTCTGTTGTTGTTGCTTTTGTTTATGTTGTTGTTTATGATGTTGTTGTTGTTGTTCAACTTTGTTTCTGATAGTCGTTCTTAAAATATGTTGCGTGTTAAGGTGAAGGATTGCATCATTTTCATGATTATTTTGCTTATATAACTCCAGAAATAATTTTTTGTTTAATACTAAAAAAGTAGAAATTCCTTAGTCAAATCAGCTGCTGATGAAGTCGTTAGGTTGTTGACTTGGAAGTAGTTTTAATATTGAATTGTTTCGATAATAATTTGAAGGAGCTGAACAAAGAGGAACTGCAGCAAGCCAAGGATTGCAATTACAACTTTGATCTGCCAACTTCATTTGATTTGGAACTCATTGCAAGCACGATGAAGCGTCTCAGAGAAGGTAAGAACGTTGAGATACCCATCTACAACTTCACAAAACATCAAAGAGACAAGAAAAAGGTTAACTGAGTTACAACACAAGTGTCTGCTGAAACTGAAATTGAAAATGAACATATATAAGTTCCTTAAACTAATTGCTATTCACAAATTTATATTTTAAAATGGTAATGGTTGAAAATGTCATAACATATTGTAGACTGTGTTGTGTTTTTCATGAAACGGTTAGCACATGCATCTCAACATTTTTCGACTTACCAAATCTAAAACTTGCTGCAACAGAAAACGATATATGGAGCTAATGTGGTCATATTTGAAGGCATCTTTGCTTTCCAACCTGAACTTCTAAAGGTATTTTTACTGTTATTTGGTATAATTATTGAGTATCACAATAACCTAACATAATTTCTTTAATTTTTTTATTTTCATTTTTTATTTCGAAGTTTTTTTATTTCCAAACAATCAGTTATTCACCAGCACCATTTAATATTTCATAAACATCACCGTCACATCATCATTTTAGCATCACATCATCCATCCCTTCATCACATCATCACATCGCATCATCCCTCCATCACCATCACATCATCATCATCATCATCACTTCACCTAAACAGTTCATGGACTGCAAAGTTTTCGTCGACACAGACTCAGACATCAGACTGGCTCGTCGTCTCAGGAGAGACATCTTAGAGAGAGGCAGGGATGTGCGAGGGGTGCTGAAGCAGTACATGACCTTTGTGAAACCCGCCTACGACCTGTACATCGACACAACAAAAAATGTTGCCGATATAATCGTACCTAGAGGTGTGTGTTTGGGTGTGTATGTATGGTGTGCGTGCGTGCTTGTATGCGTGCGTGCTTGTGTGTGTGTTTTTTGCAGTGTCGTTGCTGTACGCTCGTTTATCTTTCACGCTTCATTGTCGTCATCGTGATAACTTCATTTTAATTTTGTTGTCTTGTTTGCTGGAGCAAAAGTTGTCTGCTGGAGACATTGATGCAGGCCTACCTCAATGAGGCATGCACCTGTCAATTAACGTTTCGTTGATGGAAATAAATTATTAATTACTTTTGGACAGGAGGGGAAAATGAGGTTGGTGTTAACCTGATCGTCAACCTCATCAACCAGAGACTGCAGGAGGTTGTTGGGCTTCTTTCATAGCAATGAAATTGTTGCAGATTGATGTCGTGGTCTTTATATTGTTATATTTGTTTAATAACATTTAACTAAAGTTTATATTCTCCCTTGAACGTTTTCATTCAACTTTTCTTCACAGGATCATAATGTGACAAATTCTTTGTTATGAAATTATTTCAACGTGCACAATAATTAGATTGGTTTAGAACTGAAAATTATATTAGCATTGTTATTAACGAAGTTTTAAAGATTGCAGCACAACTTTAATCAAATTTATTGTTTAATTTTTGTTGAATGTTTTCTTTGCTACATAAGCTCATCTAAAATTCATATTGAGAAAAATATTTCCTAGCGAAATGAATGACTGATAAAACCACACAGAGAGGGTTCTTGTTTCGATCGCAGTTGAAGCAGAACATGCAGCACCAACTTTCTGGGCAGCCGTCCACCACCGGCAACCTGCCACCGTCGGTGCGCGTCATCGACCGCACCAGCCACATCATCGGTCTGCACACGTTCATCAGGAACAAAGACACCACGAGAGACGAGTTTATTTTCTACTCTCGAAGACTGATGCGCATCCTCATCGAGTTTGCTCTCTCCCTCCTCCCTTTCAAAGTCTCGTCTCCATTTTTTCTACATCTGTGACGTTTCTTTCATATGTTAGATAAAAAAATGTTTACCTGAAGTTAAATTAATTTGAGTTGTATGTTTGTTGTAATATTAAAAATAATTGAATGGTCTTAATGTGATTCGTTAATCAGAAAGTGACGATAGACACCCCACAAAATATAAAATATGAAGGCATGAGGATGAACTCAAACAACGTCCGTCCGTTTGTTTGTTTGTTTGTTCGTTCGTTTGTTTATTTCTATTGTCATTTGGTTATATTGTGCATTAAAATTTTAATATTTTGAGCAATTGAATTTTATTAATAAATAAATACGTCAAGGTTGTAACGTTGATATAGATATACACTGTTAAATATATCTATAGCTTGAAATAATATTGGTTATCCATAATGACGTGTAGAGTACTGATTATGTAATACAATATGTGCTAACATGCCACAAAGAACATCGCCTGCACGAATGAATGAATAATGATCTGGTTGATGTGCCGACCTGCAGATATGTGGGGTGAGCATCTTGAGGGCCGGTGAGACCATGGAGCCAGCCCTGTGCGACGTCTGCAAGGACATCTCCATAGGAAAGATACTTATCCAAACAAATAATGAAACCGGTGAACCCGAGGTCTTGTTGCTTCACTCTCTTTTTATTGTAGTTTTACAGAACTACTCTATTTCCAAGTTACCTGTCAATTTATTAGTTGATCATTACTAATTTTCATTCAGCTCCATTACCTCCGCCTACCCCGCAACATAAAAGACAGTCACGTGATTTTGATGGATGCGACGATGGCGACTGGTGCAGCTGCTCTGATGGCCATACGAATCTTGCTGGACCACGATGTGTTGGATGAGAACATCCTGCTCATCTCGCTCGTCATGGCACTTCCAGGTTCCATCTCCATCATTATTCCTTGTCGACTACTTCTCTAACGTGCTCTTCATATTATAATCTGTTTCTAGCAAAATAGTTTCAATCAAACAATGCTAGATTTCAGTCAATATGAGATTGCATTAGAGCTCGTCCATTGTTTTTAAATACTGAACACAAATGAGGAGGGAAATAATGGTTCTGCACGAAAACGTTTAATGAATAAATGTATCAGGTTTCGCCGCTTTTTTCTTTTATTACATGCGTGCACACACTGATCAGATACAAAAATAAATTTTTTTGCAGCATTTATCTTTTTGACAACATGTTGTACAATGTATGTACACTCATGTTTTTGTAGGCATCCACGCAGTTGCGTATGCTTTCCCGGGCGTCCAGCTTGTGACCACTGAAATTGATAAGGATATCAACGACTCCTTCCACATCTTGCCTGGCATAGGTTTTCTATACACTCATTGTTTATTATATTATCATATTTATTTTTACTTGTAACAACTTTATAATATTTATATAGACCAGGTTGATATACATTGGTGGTGGTTGTAAAAATTTTTATATTTTAAGATATTAAAATGTATGCTGAGCAGAACGAAAAGCATAGGCCATCCAAACAAGTTCTTTATAAGACTAAAAAAATCGCTGATTTAAATAATGGCTGAAGTTAAAAAAATTGATTGACTGCAGAATAAATGGCTGTGGAGAAAAGATTGTGCATTGTTTAGATGCGAGTCAGCTATAGATTCTGTTGAAATGCAACGAACGTGTTGTAAGGCAGAGTTCGAAGTAAAGCAAAAGGATCGATAGTTTAAACAGTGAAAGACAATGGGCTTAGAAAGTTCTGAGCTAGCTGAAACGAGTAAAATCATTACTTCTTTGTTAAAAGGCAGATGAAGCCTCAGATTCTGTCAATAGCCCCAGACGAATTTCAAATCTGAGTTTTTAATTTAAAATAATAGAAAAGATAATTGCCAAGCAACTATTGAACCATCTTCACAACAGCGCGTTCTCACAAAAATTGCTGTTGGGCTTTCGGAAATATCACTGAACAGAGACGGCTTTGCTGAGTGCTCTCGGATGTATCAGTATATGATGCAGTCGACGATGGAAACATTGCCATGATCGCCCTTCTTGACGTCAGTGCTGCCTTCGACATCGTTGATCGTGAGGTTAAGCGAATCATGTCATCGTACGGTATTGAGGGCTCAACTTTGGTTTGATTTGCACCATATTTTTCATGAAGAGTATCAACGAATCGGATGTCGCAAGTTCAAATTTTCTGCTCGCGGTCCCGCGGGGATCAGTATGCTGCATGTATCATCATTAAAATTATTGAAGAAAGGGGCCTCCGATATCACTTGTGTGCTGATGATATCCGGTTTTTATCCAACGAAATCATCACATGATCTGCAGTAAAAAATTACTAACTCGATAAACGTTTTGGCCAATTGATATCACTTAATAAATTAGGGCTTAATGTTAAAAAAGCACAACACATCTGGCTCGGCACCCTAAAAAGACTAAGGCTCATAAACCATTTCATATCATCAAAGAATAATTTATGTATTGTACTAGATTTTTGTTTGTCAATGGAAAATCACGTTAAAATGTTTACAGGAAAGGATTTTATCAACTCTATCAAATTAGATCCATTAGATGTTTGCTCACAATGAAGTCCACAAAAACGCTTGTACACAGTTTTGTCTGCAGCAGAATCGATTTCTCAAACTCTAAAAAAACTATGGAGTTAGTTAATTTATTCCTACAGGACTTTATTCAATCAGTTACAAACTCTGCAGCAAGAATGGTGGTGGGCGTACCAAAATTTCACTCAGTTACAGAATACATGCGTAATGAGTTACATTGGCTGCTGCGGTTTCCGGCAGGGGTAAATTTAAAAATTGTTTTGTTAGTCAAGGACTGTCTGACTGGTGAGGCACGGCTTCTTCTAAGTGAATAGCTGGTACCGGTGTCAAAGATTCAGGAACGCGGTCAAATGAGTTCATCAGGGCATGGTGATTTGGTCAGTCGACGTTCCAATCCTCAAACTTTGGTAGGTGGAGATTTGTTGCGTTTGTGGCGGTTGAAGCTTGGAATCCACTCCTTGTGCAGTTGAAGTCTTCACACTTAATGAACCCGATTTAATAAACTGCTGAAGCATTATTATTTCAACGGTGTGAACCATAGAAGGCGCTTTTGAGGTCAGATTTAGAAAAGAAATAACAAACAAAATGATATATATTTTATTAAGATATCTTATCTTTATATAACATTTTGCATTATTTAAATTTTTTTTAAATTTTTGCATTTGTATTTTTCTTATTTCTTACCATTCTTCTTATTCTACACTTTCATTTTTGTTATTATTTCACATTTTTTACTTTTTCCATTTTTATGTTTGCACTTAGTGGTGTTTCATTTATTATCATCGATGCAGTTGTTGGTTATTAATATATACGGCCCGATGTTTCTAAAGAATAATTAAAAAATATTAAGGTTAATAAACTTCATCAAGATGATAAAAGTCTCGTTAGAAAAATTGAAAAACTCAACTACAAGTTGAATGATGCCGAAAACGCAGTGATCTTTATAAATAATATATATATATATATATTGTATATTTTATAAAAATAGTTCACATTTGCAGTTTGGTGTTAATACTTGATGAGACTTTAATCAAGTTGGTCTTTCTGGTTTTTAGCGTGCTGTGATATGGGATAAAAAGCAATTTGTCAAAAATTATTTAAACTGGGTTTTTGTTGAAGTTAAAAAACTGTTTTGATGCACTTTAGACATTATGTTGGTGTTTTATCATTACGTAATGATTGTAAGCTGTTTGTCTTGATTTTGGTTATATTTATTTCAGGAAATTTCGGGGACAGATACTTTGGTACAGAGCCGTTGTGATGTCTGCTTCGTATAAACATTTGCATTCTTATCATCATCCAATGCCTTATGCTTGAGAAGTGAAGGAAAATTGTTTTATTTAGAGTTGAGTAATAGTATATCAGCAATTTATAACTTTATTGGCCATATTTATTTTCGTGCTGGTCATAATAAAATGTGGTTTGTTGTTTGTATTATAACAAAGTATTAAACGATACTTGTTGATCTAACTAGTGTCTTTGTGCGTCTTAAATTCTATTTTAATTATAAAAAATCATTATTTGTTATACCATACCTATTAAAAATGTAATTATTATATATTGTAGTTATTGTTATTATTATTACGTCCTACCTCGGGGAACCGGGACTCTGGACGCAAAACGAAGATTGATTGATTGATTGTTATTATTATTGTTTGTAACACCGATTTCCAGTTGTCTTACACCATCAAGTGTTCGTGTTGTTCATGGACTAATTGAACTCCGATCGATCCATGTTTTAATGACGGAAGCACTATTAACTCGTCCCAACCATAAAGCAGGGTTCGGAAAAAAGGACCGGTCGCTTTTGTTGTACGCGCTACATTTTGTTTGAAAAAATATATAAAAGCATTTTTTTCGTATTGATTACGTTTTATGTAGAGCGTACGTACATGTACACAGTGTTGCTTATGTGTATATAATGTTTGAATTTTGTTTGCAATTTAATAAAGCGTCTTTTAAATTGTACATTCGACTTATTTATTTTAAAAGAATATCTTAACGGATTATTTTTTAGTATGAAATAACACTTCGTATTTTTAAAAATGTCTAATGTTGGTTTAATCGCTTAATCCGGTAACGGAGATGGTTGACCAAGGTCCGAGCTTCTTTAACAGATTTAAAAATCTAGATTTATTTATTTTATTTAAATTTTGTTGAAAACTTACAAACATTTTTTAGTTTCGTATTTTTTGTGTCAACCAAAATAATGGTGACGTTGAAAATATTTCATTTGCTGAAATAAATATCAGTCGAAATTGTAGTAAAATGTTTGTTTTTATGAATTTTGTAAAGAAGTTCGTCTGTTCATTTCGTCCGTCAAATTTTGTTGTGCTGCCGGTTAAAATTTACGCTCGCAAAAAATTGATTTTTTTTTCAAAATTTTAGATACTTGTGTTACTAAAGATATTAGAATCATTTGGTTTTTCATGTCACGCTTTTGCGAAACGACTTACAGATTATTATTACGAGTAGTCCAGATTCTTTCAAATCCGATTGGACGAATTGGTTAAATGTTTGTCCTAGGGTCAATATATGGATACAAAACAACGGTTTAAAACTAAACCAAAACTAGACTGTTTTTTACAAGTGGGAATATGACGAAACTCTCAAGAATAGATATAAATTCAGTAACTATTAATGATGAGGTCATCCCATTCTGTCACTTCAGTTTCTTAATTTATTCAAGTTTGTCTATGAAACAACACATTAAAAAGCTGTCAGCCGGATGCGTGTTTCAAATCAGAAAATTCAATCAAATCTGACGATCCCTGGACACTTCCACTTTACAGACGTTGGTTCATGCATTTGTGCGCTCACGCATTGATTATTGCAACAGGTTTTTACGACTTGCCTGATCGATTCATGGCGGTACTACAATCAATACGGAATCGAGCGGCAAAAGTTGTTGTTGGAGCTCTAAAATACGACCATATGTCTCCAATATTGAAGGAACTTCATTGTCTAACAGTCGACAAAAGGCTGATGTTCAAAATTTCAACACTTGTCTACAAGTCAATCAACGCGCTAGCTCCATTATACTTGTTTGACAGGTTTAAAAAGAGATCTTCAAAAGCATCTGGAGCACATTTGAGATCTCATGTTTAAAACCTGCTGTAGATCCCAACGACGAGTCTCCGTATATTCTCTCGTAATATTGCTGTTCTAGGACCAACTGTTTGGAATAACTGTCTGCTTCTCTCAGAAATCCGGACCTAAAACTGCATGATTTCCAGAAAAAAGTTAAATTTTTTATTTTCATTATAATGCATTAATGATCAATCCTTTTTGTTTAGGCTTAATGTCTTAATTAACAAACCTTCTCAGCAGCGTCCTCGTGGCAAAAACTGAAGAATATGCCGTTGAATTGCAAAATTTTTTAAACGTCTTTAGTACACACTGCACAGCGCCTGCACAGGCAACATCTACAATCTGAGTCTGGGTCAATTGTCAATAATCTTACAAATGTGAAGCGACTTTCACTGTCTATTTTTTTTGTTCAATGAAATGTAACCAAAAATCCGGCTTCAAAAATTGGTGGGTTAAATAACAGATGTAAAACACGCGATGCAAATAACACCTAGTTTCTTTTATAGAGTTGCTTTTCCTTCGGCCTATGTCCGCTATCCCAAACTATTAATTTTAAATATTATTGTCGAATTTAGTTTGAAGTTTATTTTAAATTTTAGTAAAAAACCATCTTAGAACTTTTTAATCTGATTTAAAAAAAATTATTACTAAAGAAAAAATAAGTAAGCTGCATCACTACATCCATTTTGTTATTCAACAAAACCTCAAAACCGGTAGCGAATATTGCAAAAAATTCAAATTATAACAACGTTGTCAGTGTTACACATTGCAGAAAATTTGTAGTGAAATGTTGTCACTATTGAATTGGCTCAAAACATGCAAAATTAATTATTAAATTTCACTTTGTCTAATTTTCTCATTGAAAGTGTCGATGATCTTTTGAGATTCCTTGAAGAACTGTCTGGTCTTTTTGCATGTATCAGTAGGACAAGAGGTGCAACAAACACTCAACTTCCTGCTACACGTCAAACCACCTTCCAAATGATTCTTCACTAGTTCAGCTATGCCCTGTATCGTTGCAGGTGGCAGTTTCGTGTTTTTTAGGGTAGCTTATTGTTTGAGTTGCTTCAATACTTGGTTCATGAGTTTTTATATTTGAATATTAATGCATTATTGTTTGTATCGAGTGGTGTATTTGAGTAAATTTTGGTGAATTTAGAAATAAAGTTTACAAATTGGATGTTGTAAAAAAAATTGTAATATTTTAACGATAGCGTATCAACAAAAAAAATAACAACAATGTTATTAAAAATATTTGTACTTTTATGAAGGTTGGCCTGTCGTTGAGTGATGCGGCCCGCCTCACAATCTTGCTGCTCTGCAAATCAGTTGTTTCATATTTAAAACTTAATTGAATCAGACGTTTGAAAACATAGCACATTTTAAAAGCTCATTAGCAGGGAGCCTCGCCGGTTGCACTTCTTGTTTTCAGATTCTCACTTTTTTTAATGTCCTCGGTCAAACGTAAAATGTAATGATAAATTAGCTTTCAAAAAATAGCGTGATAAGTTTTTGAACATCGTGTTCAAATTATTAATAAGATAATAGGATAATATATTAATCTCACAATTTTCGGAACAATTTTCGAATATTCGAGATCGAGTTCATAAAGAGTTTCGATGTGGTCAGAGGTGAATGCAATCGGTACAAGAAGGAGTCCCTTGTGACTGCTGGTTTCAAACGATTTGATGACATCTTTTGTCTGGGGACCCAACCACGGCAATGGACCAACCTGTTTAGCAAATTCAGAAGAATAAATGCACGATGAACATAAAATATTCTTCAAAAAGAATGTAGTCGAGTATGAAAATTTAAAACCAAATTATTAAGTTACTTTCAAGGCTTTCAAATTTTTGTTATGCTACCATAGATTAAGCATTTCATTAACAAAATTTATAACAATCATTTGCAGCATCTCTACCCAAAAATTTCATACTTTTAAAACTTAGCCAACATTTTTTCAGATTACTTCGAAACAAAATATTGTTTATCGCGTATGAAAGATATTTTCCGTAGGCTGTTTTGGTCGATCGTAAATATAGTGTCGTACCAATACCAATATCATTTTTAAACAATTGTTCACAACATTCCAATTAATTTTCTGACTGTTCAATATAGTTTAGTTTATTTAAGTATGTTTAATAGGACCAGCCTCTTATTAAGACCAAATCTTCAGGAACGGTACGAGATCAAATCTCATCAGCAAGACTAAATTAGATTGATTAATCAGACCAAAAAGTGAACAAAAAGCCGCTTAATAGAATAAAACATGAATAAAAAGAGGCGCGCTTTTTTTGACATGTGCATTATTTTCATTTTTTTCTTTTTTTGACTTGCGCAGGCTGAAAACGTCATGAAGGTTTATTATAAAAAGTAATAAAAGAGTTTTTTTTTCATGGTTGATCACATTCAGAATGCGAGGTGTACTATTACTGTAACTGTAGTTTTATATTCATGAAATTTTAAAAACTGAAAAACGTGAAACTGTCAAAAATTAGCTGTTGGGTTCATTGACATTGAAAAATTTTCAAATGTTGATAATTTTAAATAAATGTTCAACACGCATAAAATAATATCATGTTATGATCTTTGTTATATTTTTTTAGTTAAAAATAACAACAACAACAACACACGCTTAGACGACATTTTCCCCGAGATCAGGGGTTGCCGTTTGGCTACCTATGATGAAACCGAAATACCCCTCGACGCCATTCACATCTGTCACTCGCCTCAGTATCAAGCAACTCCGCTTTCACTCTGTTCTCCACCTGCTCTCTCCATCCCAATCGCGGACGACACCTTCCTATCACTCCTTCAGCCTCGAACTCCAACGCTCGCCTAATCCCGACCCTTTCATCCCTTCTCAACACATGTCCATACCACCGCTATCTCGATCTCCTTATCAATGTCACAATGTCCTCATTTAGTCCCATCATCGACATCAGCTCTGTACTACTCCTCCTATCCTTCACTTTAAACCCACACATCATCCTCACCATAGCTTTTTCAGTCCTCTGCAGTACACTTTCCTCCTCTCTCCTCAACACACAAGTTTCACCACCATATACCATCGCTGCTCTCACACATGCTTTATATACCCTCCATTTCATCTTCACTGACCATTTCTTTCCACACAATACCCCACCAAGTTCCCTAAATTTTATCCATCCCACATGAACTCTAGCCGTAACAGCGCTCAAACATCCTCCATCCGCGTTCAGCTTAACCCCTTAATAAACAAAGCTTTCCACTCTTTCAATACCACCACTCAACGCCGTCCTTGCGTCCGTCTTTTTTTAGTTAAAAATACATACTAATACTACGCTTCTTGAAAAGAATGTTCAAATTAATTCTCGCCTAATAGCAAACACAATTGCACAGCACAAAATTTGTTTGTTTAAAAAATACATAGTGTTGTATAGAAATTCGAAATAGTTGACGGGATGATCTGTGCTTTGGGCTGGCCAGGTCAAGTCTCCACGTGGCCCGAATAAACGTTCCCACTTTTTTTGACATTTGTAGAATGGTTTAGAGGATTATTTTTTTACAAGTCGAAAAATGTTTTGCACTAATGATTTTTGACAGTTTCACGTCTTTCAACCAGTTTTCAGAATTGCATAAAGAGAAACTGTTCAAATTTTCAGCCAAGGTTCATTTCAATTTTATTATATTTTATGAATTTATGGTAAAAAGAAAGAAATAATTGATGCAAGTAGAATATGAAATTAACTTTTGATTGCCAGGAGAGCAAGTATGGGTGTGAGTGACCCAACCTATCCATAACACTCTGAACAGTAGCTGCAACTTCTTGTGGGTAGTGATCCCCTCTGTTCACGCTCTAATTTGCAAGTTGCATCAAGATTAACAGCATTGGCTTGGCCACTAACATAAAAACACATCTAGAAGAAGGAACGTGAATGGTAGAAACATTTAAACCTTCATGGGAAGTGAATGAGCGGAAAAGAGTATGAGGACATCATTCTGAACGTCAGCTGGAAACTTCAGTAACTCTTCTTCTATGCTTTCCGCAAAGGACTGCACAATGAAATGAACAAACAAAAATTTATTTAAATTATTGTCTGTCGAACGTTGAGATTGGAGAAAGAATAAAAATTTGATTTAAAAATTTTTTGTTACATATTTGTATTTATTGTAAAAACTAACAATGAAAATTACAAATGTGTTTTTTTTACCTTTAACAACTAACATAACTAACGTGAACAATGGAATGATGTGTTGGCCACCTGTCGATAGTTGACCAAATAATTTTGGTAGGATTCCTATTATTTTGGTAGTACCTGTAGATGGCATTGAGACTGCTGCCTGTCGTCGAACAGCTGTACTGAGGGTATTGGGAGAATGCAACAGCCCTCTCGATACCATCACTAAATCATTATTATATTTTTTATTATATTTAATTATTTTATTATATTATATTTTATATCTCTTGTATCTTTATATTTATTTATATATTAATCTCTTGTATATCTCCATTTAATTACTAATCTTCAATGGATTGAACTGAAAAAAAATAACTTCTCCATTTTCTCAAGAGCATCTTCAGTCAAAGGGTTCACATATCGGAAACCAATATAAAATTTGTGAGGAGCTGAAAGATGAAATAGTAGAAATAAACATCTCACACCAAGACCAAAATAAAATGATAATAATAAAAAAATGTAATAAAAAACAATCAAAGTTTTATAAAATAAAGAAGAATTAACATATATTATGCAAATATAGAAAAATCTTCATATAAAAAAAATTAATGGAAAAGAGTAAGGGGACATAATTCTGAATTTCAGATAGTTGCCAAGTAAGTTTAGAGTGCCATGCCTCATTAGGGTGTGTCAATTTTATACCGAAAAATGATTTTTTTAGAGTTTTAAAAACCAGGGGTTACAAAAAGATACATTTTTGAATGCTGAATCCAAATTAACCTTCAGATTTTAGATTTGAAAATTTCAAGCTTGGTAAATTTTATGTTGAAATTTCAGCTAAAATGTTTATTTTCGTAATTTAGGAATTAATTATAAAAATCATCGAAAAAAAAACTAATTTTAATCAATGACAAATTTTATATTTTTATTAAATACTGAAATAGTATTAACATTATATACAATATCTAATCAATGTTATGTCAATAACAAAGTAGACAGTTTCACAGCTTACAGCAAGTGTCAATTATTTCCAAATTTTATGAGATTGTACATTTCCTTCTTGCTCGCATGTCTACCCATTAGTTGTCTGCTGACGATCTCTGATCTAATATATACATCCCTTCTTCCCTGACTGTAGACATGCTCACTTGCCTCTGTAACCATCTTGACACATCTCTCAATACTTTGAATGTGTGAGGGCCAGTCTGGGACTATCATTGGAGTGTGCAAAAATTGTTTGACTTGAGCCGTTGTTAAGCTACAAGTTAGAGGAGATTCATACATTTCAGAATCCCAATAAATGAGTTCAAGTAGGCTGCTGGCATCAGGATTGATCTCTGGTGTTACCCTTTGTTTTAAACTCATATCCCCCATCTGAACATTTTCATCTGCATTTCCTCTGATCTCAAGAATCTTTTCAATTCCAACTCTTCTTTCTTCCCCCTTGTCACTACAAATCAGTGTCTGGATGACAGCTTCAGAATGTGCATGTCAGGTTGATCTTCTTACCAGAGGCATCACTATCTGCATCACCTCTTTGTCTTGGCTTCTGAAAAGCTCAAGCTGAAAAAGGACATGTCTCGGACCATCAATCAAACTATGCTTCATTTTGATGTTAAACCAATTAGGCTGTGGTGCACAAACCTGGTTCAAATGCTGCTTGTACAAAAACACAAAACTTTCTTATGGCTAATGCTTACATACACATGCATATACATTGTGTGGCATGAATGTTTCAGCTTTGCACCAAAGAAAATTGTACTACAGCTTTGCACTTGTAAAGAACAAAATAAATTGCCATTGAAATAAGATAAATTAAACCAGTTGCTGGACTGATGGAGTCAAGAATGTCAACCATGCCCTGTCCCTGGACATGAGTCCACCAATGAATGGGAGATCCCCCTCCTATCTCATTGTACTGCTCGATGACCTTTGGTGTTCTTCTTTTGGCTATCCATGAACCAAGGTATCTGAATAATTTTTATTATAAAATAATTCGCTGACAGTTTTTAGTCTTGAAAAAATTTCTCACTTTTGAAAAGGTAACTGCATAAGATCTCTATCAGAAAACAGCCTCTGCAAAAAATCCTGAACTTCGTGTGCATTCTTCGGCCCACCCATGTTCATCATCAGAATACCCGTTTTGTATCTGGTTCTGCAAAGTGTTGAGAGATTTCAATAAAAATGTTGAAGGTTCAATTATTTAATGGAAACTTACACATTCTTAATTTTATTCTTTTCTTGCAATGTTTCATTTCCGTTTGATACTTGTGAAGCAAATGCCCTAACTGGAAGGAATCCTTTTTATTTAAAAGTTTAACATTGTTATATCATGAAATAGGATTTAAATGTAAAATTTATTTGAAACTAAAATTTCTCTATAAATTGCAACAATTTATATTGAGGCAATTCTTGGTGAATTAATAAACCAGAGTTCAAACAAATCTATCTTCTCAGCAACATGTTGACAATGTAAACACTAATCAAATCATATTTTAATGGATTTTAAATGTGAGAGTTCATTTAGTTAAATTTTTAACTTATTCAAATAGTTAAAAACAAGTTCACAAATTTAAAAAGTGAAAGCGGGCAAAAAGCTTTTCATTTTATTTGGTTTCCAATGATTGCTTTTGAAATAGAAATTACTGTCTGGTCATACAGGAAGGCTAAGAAGGTTGCAAAACGGGCAGTGGCAACTGCAATGACGAAAGCATCAGATAGGTTAATGAGGGAAATGGAATTTGATGTGAGTTCGAGGAAAATGTTCAAAGTAGCAAAGCAGTCAATGAGGGATAGGAAAGATGTTATAGGGAATGGATATGTTTGGGATGGATTTGGCAAGTTGTGCATAGATGAGAAGGAAAAAGCTCAGGTGTGGAAAGCCCATATGGAAAGGTTGATGAATGAAGAAAATGAGTGGGATGGAGATGTGGATTCCGCGGTCACACACGGACCCATAGAGAAGGTGACAATGGAAGAAGTAGAGAAAGCAGTTAGAGAAATGAAACTAGGTAAGACGACAGGGGTTTCGGAAGTGGCGGCGGAACATATAAAGGCGAGTGGGGTGATAGGAATTGAAGTTATGATGAGAATTGCTAACAGTATGTTTGATGATGAAGGTATACCTGAGGATTGGCGACATAGTGTGTTAGTGCCGTTGTATAAGGGCAAAGGAGATGTGAGAGATTGTGGGTCATATAGGGGTGTGAAATTGCTAGAGCATGGAATGAAGGTAGTGGAGAGGGTGCTTGAGAGGAGGTTGAGAAATATGGTGACAGTTAATGAAATGCAGTATGGGTTTATGCCTGGTAGGGGAACGGTGGATGCGTTGTTCATAGTGAGAATGTTGCAGGAGAATTATAGAAAGAAGAAACGAAGATTGTACATATGTTTTGTGGATCTAGGCTTTTGATCGAGTACCGAGGAAGATCATTGAATGAGCGCTGAGGAAGAAAGGAGTGAATGAGAGACTTGTTAAAGCTGTGATGCAGCTGTATGAAGGGGCGAAGACAAAGGTGAGGGTCGGAAGGGAGATGTCGGACGCTTTTAGTGTTAAGGTAGGAGTACATCAAGGATCAGTGTTATCACCGTTTTTGTTTGCAATTGTGATGGATGTTGTGTGTGGAAACATAATGGAGGGGTTGTTATTTGATATTTTGTATGCAGATGATTTAGTCTTGATGGCTGATAGCATGGAAGAATTGCAGTTAAAATTTGACAGATGGAAAAGTGTTATTGAAAAGAAAAGGTTAAAAGTTATTATTGGTAAGACGAAGGTAATGGTGAGTGGGGAAGGTGGAAAGCAAATAATAAGTAAAATAGACCCCTGTGGGGTATGTGACAGGAGAGTGAATGCTAACTCGGTATTGTGTATAGGATGTCAGAAGTGGGTGCATAAGAGATGTAGTGGTGTGAGGGGGGCACTGAAAAAGATGGATGGCAAATGTAAGAAGTTCAAATGTAAGAAGTGTGTTCATGGTGTGATTAATAGGACGGACTCAAGGACGGGGTTGAGTGGTGGTATTGAAAGAGTGGAAAGCTTTGTTTATTTAGGGGTTAAGCTGAACGCGGATGGAGGATGTTTGAGCGCTGTTACGGCTAGAGTTCATGTGGGATGGATAAAATTTAGGAAACTTGGTGGGGTATTGTGTGGAAAGAAATGGTCAGTGAAGATGAAATGGAGGGTATATAAAGCATGTGTGAGAGCAGCGATGGTATATGGTGGTGAAACTTGGGTGTTGAGGAGAGAGGAGGAAAGTGTACTGCAGAGGGCTGAAAGAGCCATGGTGAGGATGATGTGTGGGTTTAAAGTGAAGGATAGGAGGAGTAGTACAGAGCCGATGTCGAGGATGGGACTGAATGAGGACATTGTGACATTGGTAAGGAGATCGAGATAGCGGTGGTATGGACATGTGTTGAGAAGGGATGAAAGGGTCGGGATTAGGCGAGTGCTGGAGTTTGAGATTGAAGGAGTGATAGGAAGAGGTCATCTGCGACTGGGATGGAGAGAGCAGGTGGAGAAGGACAAAGTGAAAGCGGGGTTGCATGATACTGAGGCGAGTGACAGATGTGAATAGCGTCGAGGGGTATTTCGGTTTTATCATAGGTAGCCAAACGGCTACCTCTGATCTCGGGGAGAATATCGTCTAAACTTGTGTTGTTTGTTGTTGTCTGGTCATATTGGTTGTTGTTAATAACTTAAAATTTTGATTGTTAAACTAAAAAATCATAGTCTCCAGTTCAGCACTTAATTGTTGACAAGAAACTGCATTTCTTAACTTAAAAAATTATTAAAAATAGCTGGCATTGGTCACATCACAGTGAATTGAGCTATGACAATCAGCCAGGGTTTATTTATTTAATAATTGAAAAATATAGACTAGTGTCTCTGTCTATCTATAGTAAATAATTATGAATGCCATTTTTAATACTATATAATTATAAATTCCAATTGAACAACATTAATTGCCAGATCAACCACAGCTGTTTAATTTCAAAAACTAATTTGATTGTAAATCTCTAAATCAGATTTGAAAATTAGTTAGTCTCTTATGTCTTAAAGTGAATTTTGTCAATTAAAAATTTATTAAGACTTTAAAAAAGTATTTTTTTACTTAAACTGTTGCCATTAGTTAGATTTAATTAATTAATTAGAATTAGAGTAAGAACTTAAGAAGGTAATAAAATAAACTAATAAGCAAGTTGGAAGAAAGATGGTAAAAAGTGCATTTTAGGTGCCTAAATTATATCATCAATATTCAATAAAATGCATAAACACTCATGCACTAAAAAAGTGTAAATTCTTTTTTCATTTTATTTTTTATTAGTTAATCCGTCCTTAAATAAGACGAAAAACTGAAAAACAACCAACTCGAGGGGACAGCACGGGCCAGCGACATATTACATAACTAATTTAAAAGGAGACTTACATGGATATGTATATAAGAAAAATGGATTTAAATAATTATTTTACCAGTACTGTACAAGTACAACCTTTGCCCCAGTCAGTTTCTCTTTCTAACGATCTCAGAACAAGTTTAAGGGTTGAGTCACACACACGCACACACACGCCCACACACACGCACACACGTATACACTACACACACACGCACACATACAGTGGCAGATTTTTCTGTCCATAAACAAAATTAAACAGGGGTGGGCCAACTACGGCCCGCAGGCCGAATAGTCAACGGACCTGTAATACCCAAGAGACGGGATAGTTCCAATTATAAAAATGAATAAACTATATACTTTAATTTATATTTTTCAATTATTAAAAAATATTTTATATAAAAAATCTACCAAAGCAGCATTAAAACTCGGTTATGTAAACCAGAAAAATCAATTTTAAGGCCTGAAAAAGTACTTCATTTCAATTCCTGGACAACAATAAAGTATACAAGTCATAAATATATTACATTTGAAGCAGTTGTGCTCATCTATCGGAAATCTTGAACCTACGGAATAACGAACACTCGACCAATTAATTAATTAATTAAGGGACAGGAGTGGGCTATCCCTTAATTGTTTATAAATCATGGTTCTTATTGTTCAGAAAATCTTCATCTTTGGTTTAAGTGAGGAAAAGTAATTGTAAACGATCAATGCTGAAACATTTTGAAAAGCTTTGTTAACAATTATAATTCAAACGTTTGATATATAACAAAAATTAATCTATATTTAAAATAAGTTGTAGATTAATTTCCCACAAAATATTTTTTTTCTAAAAGTTATTTGTACCAAAGCAACAGATGAAGATGGGCTTACAGCCGCAACCTTATAAAATGACAACTCTTTATTAACAAATTTGTGAGCGACTCTAAACTTGAAAAATTTAAGAACATTTTTAAACTTTTTAAATAAATGAATTATCCCAGTTTTTAACAAATATTAAAATAAATTTAAATTGATTTTCTTCAAAATATCGGGCTGCTTATTTTTCAGACGTTTTAGATTTGAGATGCAGACTACAGATCACTGAGAAAACTAGTGGACATCCAGTTATCATTATTTAAAATTTTTATTTAATTGATCCAAATATCTTTTTTTCTTTGAGAAATCTAATGGTAGATATCAAGTATACATCATGATCTATAATAACAAAAAAAAAATTTGGGCTCAATTATTAAAGGCGCCAGATCTTGATGTCGCAGTGACTGCAATCGAATGCAAAAAGATCCCCGCCTATCAAATGCAATGTGTGTGATGCGTGGTTTCCACGCGTATTCATGTACGCTGTGTGTGTTTGTCGTTGATACCTTTGAAGCAAGGGCAAAAGAAAAAATTACCAATTTTAATATACAAAAAACACCGAACAATAGTACTGGTTTTGATTGATC